TTAGTATTTGATATAAATCAGTGATGATAGCAGCATTTTTTTCTTTTAAGATGCTTCATTTTGTGAGCAGGAATTCAGAAATACTCAGCGTAAGCCATGGAGCAGGCAGCCCATTTTAAAGATGAGGATATTAAAGAGATAGATGCCAAGTGCCCTGGTTTAGTCAGGGTTGCTACCACACCAAACAGCTCTGTTCAACAAGCCTTATGGATTTTGTAACTACTAGCGCCCTTCCACTCTGTCAACCTTATAATTCTATGACATCAGAGTTGTTAGCAAGTGAAAAACAAAAGCAGATCACTCTCTCCAAACCTGTGTTTCTGGAATAGTTTATCAAATTGAGTAGTTGACTGCTTGGGTCCAGGGGAGATCACAAAGCAGACAGGAATATTTCAATTAGAGGAGTTTCCTGAAATAACTCCTGGGTGCTGAGGGGCACAGGGGGTGGAGGGCAAGGAGGGCACAGGGTTGGCTGAGGCCATGATTAAAATTCATGAGAAAGAAGAATCTGTGTTTAAAGACCTGACTGTGCTGTCTCTCAAAGGTCATATAAGCACTCGGTAATTTTTCCAAGGCCAGAGAGAGCGATCCAGTGACAGTCAGTGTGCACTGAACAATGTACCCACAGTCTCAGCACACATGGCAATACGAACTGTAACAGAATACAACACTGACATCAGGAACCGTCCCTGACTTCTTTATCTGGCTTTAAAAAATGATTGTGGTAAAGAAACAGTCTTGAAGTTGCAGAGATTCCCTTTAAAATTTGTGTTAGTAATGAAGAAGGATTGCTTCTTACGGGAGTCTGATTTATACATGACTATAGATCAACAGTCATGTAAAACTCAACCTTTCATAACAGAAAGCAGTGCTCTATTATGAATGCTGAAAAACTGTAACAAACATCGTTAGTCTAGTAGATGTGGATGCCACATCTTGTCACCCACAATCAGAGTTTGGTAGCCTCAGTCAAGAGAGTCACACAATGAATCATTCAGTATAAGCTGGCTTGCATGAAGAATTATAAATGCATATATGCTTTCTATGCCATGTACCAAAATGGTAGTTTATGCCAAATAGTGTATCAACAGATATAAAAGGCAGTGAGGAAGAAACAGGAGATTGGTTAAAGAACCTTTTAACATATAATCACCAAATGACATACAAAGCCCAGAAAAACTCCCAAGCCAGCTTCTTCCACAACCTTGTAAAGGAGTAGTTTAAGACTGCCATTTTTATTTTGCATGGAAAAAACACGAAAGAGGATTTTCTTGTATTGTCCTTTACTGCTGTGAAAGGGTGGCAGGAGTAGCAGCAGTAGCAGCAGCAACAGTACCTGTATAACTTCAGGGGGATAATGAGAATCACCATCAGCATCAAGCTGATTCCCAAGAGGTGGACGTCACATGTATCTCCACTCGCCAACCTTTTTTACCAATTCTAACACCAGCCATCCTTCCCATGGCACTCTCTACTTCTCTGCTGGGTTCAAAAATCCATTGCAATGACCACACAGAACTCACAGACCATACTTACAGTTAAGCAGTTTATTTAAGAAGTAACAGGGTACAACTTGGGATCAGGATCAGGAACATATAGGCAGACTCACTTCTTCTGTGCAGAACAGCTCTCTCGGTCTTCTCCACCATGCAGGCCTCCTCTCTGCTCCCTGAGGACAGGCTCCTCTCGGCCCTGCTGTCCATCCCACTGACTCCGCTGCAAGGCCCCTTCTGGGCCTGTCGCTGCTGGCTCTACCGCAGGGCCCGTCCACACCTGTCACCAGAGGCTCTGCTGCCAGGCGCCTTCTGGGCCTTTTGCTGTCTTCAGCGTTACAGCCCTCGACCCATGTTTCAGCTCTTTTAGGAGGTTCCTTGCCTCCTCTCTCTCTCTGCTTCTTCTCTCTTTTCTTTTCTTCTGCTTCTCCCTGCTTCTTTCTGTCTGAAAAACCTCTGTGGGATTGGCTGCTTACTCCTCATCAATTTCAAGGCATGGCCCTCTTCACCAGGAACACGAACTGCCAATCCCCTCTTGGTAGGCCACAGGCACTTCATTTGCATAGCCTATTGACCAGTCCCTGCAAGGTGTGTACTAATATAAAGGCAGGCTGCAGCCTAGGACTAAATAAAAAGTATCCAACCAAGGTGTTTACAGCTTACCCAGGAAATGTCAATCAACCTGGACAAAAGTGACAAACCTTCTGAGGTAGAAAATTAGAGCAAAACTAACTCCGCAGGGCTTAAGGGGAAAATCTCTCAAGCTGTTTTTCCAAAGAACCAAGGCAAAAGGCCACATAAAGGAACTCATTTTCACCACAAATACCTTAGGTTGAAAAGCAACTGACTGGGAAGATTATTTCCAGCATTTTTCATGGTTTGGAGCTCATGAGTGCAGATGCAGAAAGTAATATAAAATACATTCAGGACTTGAGAACCTTGTCTCATGGTCTATGAAACAGAACCATCTTATTGGTGAAGTCTTCTTGTGAAAGGTTCTTTTAGAGAATGTTATCCTGACTTCTATTCCACCCCTTGATGGGATCCAAAATATACTAGACTTATGCTGAATTCTCCTCTAAAGAAAATGATCTTATTCTTATTTATATCACTAAGGCAGTAAGTCACACATTAAAGGTAAAGAAACGATGTTAGATGTAAGTGAAATCAGATCCAAGGCCACTCTCACTCTTTCACCCAAACAAGGTTCCCTTCAGATGGACTTTCAGACATTTGTCTACTTACCACACCTGAGTGAGCAATGCTTTCTACTAGTACACGGGGGGATGCATTTTAATAAAGGGAAACACAGTTGGTCCCCAAAATAAAAGTCAGGTTAGGAGACTGCTAACATTTGTGCAACATGAATCAGGCACCTATCAGGTGGCAGCACTGGATGCTGTTGTTGTTAGGTGCTGGTGAGTCGGTTCTCATAGTGGCCCCACGTACAACAGAACCAAACACTGCCCAGCCCTGCACCATACTCATGATCACTGTTATGCTTGAGCCCACTGTTGCAGCCACTGTGTCAACACGTCATTGAGCGTCTTCCTCTTCTTCACGGACCCTCCACTTTACCAAGCATGAAGTCCTTCTCCAGGGACTGGTCCCTCCTGATAACATGTCCTAAGTATGTGAGGTGAAGTCTTGCCATCCTTGCTTCTAAGAGGCATTCTGGCTGTACTTCCTCCATGGTATATTCAATATTCTCTGGCAACAATGTAATTCAAATGCATCAATTCTTTTTTCGATCTTCCGTATTCATTGTCCAGCTTTCACACGCACATGAGGCAACTGAAAATATCACGGCTTGGGTCAGGCACACCATAGTCCTCAAAGTGACTTCTTTGCTTTTTAACACTTTAAAGAGGCCTTTTGCAGCAGATTTTCCCAGTGCACTATGTTGTTTGATTTCTTCACTGCTCCTTCATGGGTGTTCACTGTGGATCCAAGTAGAAGGACCTGGCAGTTTACTTCTGAAAAAACTGGCCAGTGAAAACCTTATGAATAGCAGCGGAACACTGCCAGCACTGGCTAAACTATTGCCAATATTACAGATATTTGTAATTCTAAGAACTACATCAATAGCCCAGATACCACAAAGCTTCTGAGGCCATGAAAAAGACAGACTCAGACTGACTAGAAGGTGGGCAGAGGGTGTGGAGTAGATTTCTGACTGACCTCAGAAGACTCTCCAAGACTCATGGCTCACATATGCCAACTACGCTGGAAACAACTAACCCTCTCTCTTCCCAGCTTTATGGCCATTTAAGGCATATCCTCGGGATGATGGCTCTCAAACACAAGGGATCATCAGCGTCTTCCTGAGGGCTCGTTAAAACCTAGATGGCTGACCCCATTCCCAGAGTTTTTGATTCACTGGGTTTAGGCTTGAAAGCATGGGTTTCTAACAAGTTCCAAGGTCTTGTTGCTATGCCTTCCCAGGGACCACACTTGCAGAACTGCTGCTGGAGTTACATAACCAGCTCTAGACTGGAAGCCTATATGACTAGGATGGCTGTGGGAATGTAAGAACCCATCTGAGGTTTGGACCTGCCAAGGACATTCCTCTAGCTAGTGGCTATGCTGGATTATACCCTGGGGTGCCGACCAAGGTACACTAATACAATAGCCAAATATATACCCTCCCTCACCCCCAAAAGTAAGCCCTTTCATATATCCCTTAGTTCATGTACAAACTCAGATCTCTTAAACATCGTTAGAAGCAGGCATTGAGTGGATAAATCTACTTAACAATTAGAAATATATTTGCAGAAAAGTAGACAGTTGTTATGGATTGAATTGTGTCCCCCAAACATGTGTGTCATAAATCCTAACCCCTACACCTATGGTTGGAACCCTGGTGGCACAGTGGTTAAGAGCTTGGCTGCTAACCAACAGGTCAGCAGTTTGAATCCACCAGCCACTCCCTGGAAATCCTGTGGTGCAGATCTACTCTGTTCTATAGGGTTGCTATGAGTTGGATGGCAACGGGTTTGGTTTTGGTTAATACCGTCTGGGAATGGGTTTTCTTCGTTATGTTAATGAGAAAGTATTAGTGTAGGATGTGCCTTAAATCACTCTCTATTGAGATTTAAAAGAGATTAAACAATCACGTGAGCCAGCAAAGATGGGGGAAGATAGATGCCACACCCCATGAAGATCACCAAGGAACCAAGGAACAAGGACCTTCCCCGAGCTGACAGAGAGAGAAAGCCTTCCCCTAGAGCTGGCACCCTGAATTCGGAGTTCTAGCCTCCTAAACTGTGAGAAAATAAATTTCTGTTTCTTAAAGCCACCCACTTGTGGTATTTCTGTTATAGCAGCAGTTAAGATAACTAAGACAATGGTGAAGTACATAAAAAAGCGAAACTGATTACTGAAAGTGTCTACCCTGTGTTGACAGCGTGGGCTACTGTTTTGCAATTTTGCAATCCCTTTCAGTTTGAAGCATTTGGGAATGAGAATGGCCACCGCATCATGGCATTGATTTCATGACAGTTGTACCTGACTTGCTTTTCACTGCTGCCACCCCCAACTAAGAGTTCCTGAAGCTGGTGAAGGACAGCTGTTCCACAGGTTTCAAGGTCTTCTTCTGTCTGAATGTCAGTGTGATTACAGAGCCTATAAAATAAAACAGGTGCTGCATGAGATGTTTATTTAAGCACAGACTGCCAGCTTCTAGAATCTATGGTGGTTCTTCATGGTTTATTGAAATATATCTATAATATAATCTAGACATAAAAATGCAGCAACTATACTGTCTCTCAACAAAGATGTAAAATGGGGCAGTTTGAAAAACTTGTTTGTGTATATGTGGCTGTTTCAAATCCATCAGAGGAAGTAACTTTTAACTCTTTGATGGCTTTAATGATGTTCAAATCCACAGCTGTGCAATCTCATTCCACATTCCACCTGACTGATAGGAATGCTAGATAATCTTAACAGCAGAAAAGGCTAATTTTATATTGTCAATCATAACAAAATTAGATCTCCACAACTCACATGAAATTTACTTAAATTGTCAGTGCTAAGAAATTGAAAACTGCTGGCTGAAGTACAGGTTATGTCCTCTATTTCTGAATGCAGAAGAATGACTATTATTTCTCCATTTAGATCCCACTGCAGTAATTTTTTTTTTTTAGTTTTTAATAAGAACAGGAAAGCATGGAACGGGGGCTTTAGCCTTCATTATCTACTCGAAGTTTACCGGATGACTTGAAGAGTGACAGTTTGGCCACTGCTTTAGGTTAGATCTCTGGTTGTATCACAGTAGTTCCCAAACATATTGATTAGTTACTACTTTTCCTGTTTTTTTGGAAGCATGATTCTCAAAAGTTATGGGAGAAGATATGAAAGGTCAAACAGTGTTGCTGCTTTAAAGGAGCTGATATATGTGTGGCTGGATTATTCAACACATAACCCAAAAATAAAATGAGTATTACTTACAAAGTAACTTCTAAAGCCATATATTAATTAGTAAAGTATTACCAATTTGAAATTACTACTACAGTTTGGTTAAGCTTACTGGACCTATTTGAGGGCCATGTGCCAGGACCACTGAAACAAGGATGAAGGAGGCACGGCCCCTCTGTTTCCTGGAGGGTGAGGGGGTGCCACTACAGGCTCAGGCCCATCCCCACTCTGAGGATGTTTTCACTTGGGGGGAAATATAAATGGGCTCACCGGCATCAAGCCCTATTCTTCACTCTCGTCCTTCCTGTCGGTTCTGCAGGCTCCTTGCGAAGTCCATAGCTCTTGTCTAAACTCTAAGCCTGGATTCTTAATCCCTGTGGGCCAGACCTTGTGTTGGGTCTTTCACTCCTGAACTCTGCTGCCCAGAACCTTCCAGACTCTCGGCCCAGCTGACTTACAGGACCTACAGACACCTCTTTTTGCCTAGGCAAAATCTGGTTCCTAGTTCTTCCTGGATGACTTAATCTTGTTGCCACTCTATTCCCAGGATAACACCTGCCCTTAAGAAGAAGAAAAGTCTGCTAGAGATGAACCAGTTTCAGGGCAGAGGGAAGCACATATTCAATGGTAAGAGGTATGGGACAGGCCATCAGACAGGAATCACGAGGCAGTAGAGAGACAGATCCCTGCAGTCACAGAGGCTTGACTAAGGAAAGGGAATTTCCGCCAGGCAGGCAGGAGTTAGACAGAGGGGGAGATGACATTTCAAGCTACAGAGTGGCATAGGCAAAGGTGACAGGAAATGTGGGTGACGGGGGTGGGTCACAGTGCAGGAGATAAATTTGGTTGGGTGGGGGTTGTTGATGGCGATAGGACAGTAATGGGAAATAAAATTCAATATGAAACTTCAGAGAGAATACAAAGATAAACTGCGTGAATCTGAGCCATCGCTGGTTTCTTGAAAGCAGTGTTTTTGAGAGGGTTAATCCTGCAGCCCTGTATAGACGGGGTTGGTGAGCAGAGAGACCAGAGGCCCTGAAACTGGCCAGGAGATGGATGTTGTGTTCTAGGCGGCAGGTGAAGAGCACAAAGTGTGAGGAGCTGTGGTGGGATGGCAGGGAAGGGGAGAAATAGCCCCCAGAGGGAAGGTGACAGATAGCAGAGCTGGCTGCTGGCGGGACAGGCGGCTAAGGGCTGAGACAAGTGCCTCCCTCAAAGGGCCAGCTGCCCCTCAGCTCACTCCCACTGTGGAATGTGTGTCCCAGTGATACGAGATCTTCCCATTTTTCGAAAGAAGTTGAAAATCCACAATTTCAAACTTTATTTTTATGTGACATCTCCTAATTTTTATGATGTGGCAACTAATTCAAAAGAAGGTTAAACATTGTGCTGGACAAGCAAAACCCATCTGTGGGCCAAGTCAGGCTTGAGGACCACAAGCGTGTGATCTTCAGTTTAGGGCACCTTTAGCCTCACTTCCCAAACCAGACTGTAATCACTGGGCAAGGAGCATACCTTCATGTCTCCGTATATCCTCTGAAATGCTATGACAATGGTGGACCTTAGCACACACTCACTAGTGCTGGTAACCAAGATGGGGTGGTGGGTCGGGGGTGTTACAGTGGGAACAGCCTGCCTTCATGGGGAGTACTTTATCACTGATGTTCTTAAGAATGGTGCTAGGAGAAGGCAAACTGACTTTTAGTGGTTTTATGACTGTCTTTAAATTCGCTTCAGACAATGCGCACTCCTGTTGCCTGCCTCTGGGGGACCACGCCTTCAAACCCCCTGCAGTACTGCACAGTATGCCACTACTCAGTAACGCCTGACTGTCCAGCAAGGGCAAACACCAGATAACTTTTGTTCTTTTCCCATCTTATCAGTCCAAACGCCAGACTTAGACATTCCGTGCCCCTTTAGCAGCTTCCCTGACTACCACACTCGCAGTGATCTTTCTTATCCCTAAACTCCTTTAACTTAGTAAAGACAATATCCCACGTTATATTATTTTCTAGTTATGTCATATATGCACAGTGGTTAAAGAGCTCAGCTGCTAACCAAAAGACAGGCAGTTCGAATCCATGAGTCACTCCTTGGAAACCTTACAGGACAGTTCTACGCTGTCCTGTATGGTCAAGTATGCCTAGTCTTCTTGACAAGACCAGAAACTGGTTGAGAACAGCAACTGAATTTCTGAGTCTTTGTTTTACTTTAAGTTTTGCACAGCACTCAGCACAATGCTGAACACGCACTGAATGACAACTATGTGTTGAATGAGAGGCCATGATTTAAACTTAGATTAAAGAAATTCATGTAACATACCTATTTTTACAGTATATTTTTATATGGTTGCTGTTATACCATACATATATTTTTCTAGTCCAGGACTTCCTACATCCTTAGCACTGGGTGATCACCAAGACGGCCACAACTACCGCCCTCACAGAATTTACGGTTGACTATAGTACTGCTATGAGTCGGAATCAACTTGACAGCAACGGTTTTGGTTTTTGTTTTTCTCTAGATGAACTCAGAAACTTCTCTGGCTACAGGATGAGTTGGTCCATGCTGAGGACATATAAGAGTGATCTCCCCACCCGATGCCAGACTTTAGTTTGGAAAGTATCTGTCAGTTCTTTTGCTGAAAACAACTCTACTAAAGAATTCTAACACTGTATGAGTTAAAGATCAAAGACTATGTGTTATGAAAGCACTATAAAGATTTTAACATTCAAGACCTGGATTTCCCTCACTTCGTCTATTTATATTCCTACCAAAATAATTCCAACTGGAAAGGCATGATCTGGCAAGCCGTGCCTAGTCTTTCCTGGGAATGCGTGAAGACTGGCTGTGACTTGGACACACTGGGCTCCTCCCATCCCCTTGTTCTTTATGAAGTCCACCAAACAGACAAACCCACTGAATGACAAGGACTCCCTAGAAACACAAATGGCATATTTTAATTTTTGAAAAATTAAAAAACAATGCTTTGTAGCTTCATTTCCATCTTTCAGTCACATAGAATCTAGGAAATAATTTAAAGAAAACAGCTTCACTCCAGGCTAATGTGAACACTCAGAATTAAGGTATGATTTTTTTAAAAAGCGAGATAGTGAGAAAAGGTGCTATTTTTTCTCTCAGTGTCGCAAACTGAGAATTACTCCTTGGCAAAAATAACCCTGAATGAGTGCTACAGAAAATAAACTTTTCTTCACCCCAGCAGGTACCTCTTCCTGGGGACTGTTGGTGCCGCAGCCCAGGCTTCACTCTCAGGTCTCTTTCCTCAGGGAACAACGGCCTCCAAATGGCGTGGCCATCACTGAGCATAGGTAGTGATGAGTTCGCTTCCATAATTCGCATTATAAGATGTTATTTTAAAAACTATGAAATACTTTCTCTGTATTTTTAATGAGACTGAAGAATCATTAACTGTAGTTGGTCACATCCAGAACTATGTTTTAGAGAAGGAAACTAGTTCAAAATGAGCAACAACAAAATGGCATCACTCACAGAGGATCTTCTATAGAACTTAGGAATCACCCATACACATAAAGGCAGGAAATTGTTTCCAATTCCAGTGCACACAGAAAAACTTGTGGGGAAACTCAACCTCCATCTCCTCCAGAGTGTGGCTCCCCCTTCCTTCCTCAGGGGTAGAGAGCTCACAGGTACTGATCCTGGGAGCCCTCGTTTCCCTTCCTCCAAACTCCTTCCTCCTCCCCCATGGCAAGGGAGGGTTCCAACGCAGACAAAAACACAATGTCCTCTATAAGGAGCTCCAGGCTGCCTTACTGCCTTTTCACACTAAACTCCGTTTACTTGCAGCAGTCTGTGGCCCTCTGTAGTCCTTGAAAATAAGCAGACAAACAAAGAAGAAAAACAAAAACCAAAGAAAAACGAATGGAAACAAACTTGTGGGTCAAACTCATACGCTAAAAATTCTTTTTCAGGTACAAATCACCTGAGATGAGTTCTTTCTGGATTCTTTCTTCCCTTTGTTTTCTTTTGGCACATGTGTACAGACACACAGAAACAAAATGAGCAGGATTTCTTATTCCATAATTATCTTTTAAATCATAATAATTTTTTGGGGCCTCTTTGAAGTTGAACTAACAGATCCAGTCACTGTCTCACAATTTCCAAAAGTCAAAAAACAAAATATAACCTAGTTGCTCTTGCTTTCTTAAAACCCCCAAGGCCCCGCGTTG